ATCCGGATGGCAGGTCAGGTTTGTTCGAACAGAAGTTCCTGACGCATGCGCAATGTCATTTTACAATGCGAAGAATAACGTGCATGGTGGTTCTAAATCAGTTACAGTTAGGGACTAGGGGCTTGCGTAGGAGTAACCTAAATTAAGAACAGGTACAGATGACTTAGCTCTATTGGATATTGGAGAGACGTGTACAATTGTACACTAAAAAAAAAAAAAGGGTCAACGACAGGTTACGCACCACACGTTGGCATAAACAGACTAACATGGCAGAATTGCAGACGAGTTTCAATGAGTGAGAGTTCTTTCACTGTTAAAATAGTGTAAATTTGTAAAAATATTTGCAAGAACTTTGTTTCATCATAATTTCACAATTTTCCGGACAAAATTAATAGTTCATCCAGACAGTGAGTCAATTCCCGGACTGTCCAGGTGAAAACCGGATGGGTGGTAACACTAATTCCAAATTATTTAATTATAAATATTAAACTTATTAATAGATTGCACCTAATGTCTCCCTATAATCCATGAAAAATTATTTAGAAATTAATTAAAAATAATTGCAGAAAAGTAGCCTGATGTAATCCAGTAATTGCTTGGCTTTTTACTAACATATTGTATTTCAAGATGTTTGTATATGTATTAGTTTACTTGCTTGAAATATCTTAAGTTTTGAAGAAACATCTTCCATGTCTTTGCAAGTTGCAAATTCTATGATACTGTAAATTAAAATAAACGTTATAAATGACACCCTCTGCTTTTGCACTCACTTCCCATATGCGACTACTTTTAATTTTTCCCAAGAGTGGTCACAAATGCAGCTTTACTGTATACAATCACATTGGAATGTCAATCTTCACATTCACAATTGCTTTTATTTATTCTATTCCTCCAAAATTTAGAATCTCTAAAATGCTTCTTATGTTCAGGATAAACAAGCAATTTATAATTCACTAAACAGCAAAAGTACTGATGACAAATGTATGGTGATATTATAAAAGTTAATTGATTACACAAATTGAGAGAGAATTCTTATAAATTATATCCTTTTGATGTAATTTTCTGAAAACTGCATTTGCCATACACCACAGTACTACAATTCAAACCTGTAAAAATGCAGTAAAATTTTAATTTTCAAATGTTTTTGGTCATCTTAATGTTCAGGACAAAAACAAATTTCAATTTAATTTGAAGAACAAAAGCTGAAATTACAACTTTATTTTTCTTCTTTTTAAATTTAAATTTGTCTCTTTCTATCCTGAAGGTCATTTAAGATGACAAAATATCAGGTCAGTCCATAAGTTCGTGCGCATTAGTAGCATGTATGGATTTCGCGACTATTTATTACCAGATCGATAAGATTCCGAACCTGTCGAAACTTGTCATCGCTTGACCGTTGTATTCGTCAGTTTGTCACCAAATTTCGTAAAGATCAGACGCATATTAGTACCAATAAAAAATGAATATCGATAACGCATATAAACGTGCTGTGTTATATTTTTTCTTTTCGAGTGGTGAAACTGTCAGATCTGCAGCAATAAAAATTAATAGTGTACATGGTGCACATACTATTAGTGTGAGGACTGCCCAGAAATGGTTCGAANAATCAGCAAATTCATAAAATTTTTGTTTATTTTGAACAATCCGGATAATCGAAAATCCGGATAATAGAGATCCGGATAATCGAGGTTCTACTGTAATATGGCAGGAAGTAGGTAGTTAGGCTGCAGTCTCTTGTTAAATTTAATAATTATAAAAAATTTATTAATATGAGTTTAGGATAGCCTGAAAGAAAAGATTGGGTGCACAGTAAGCAAGAGTTGCAGGACTCTAACCTGTAACTCTTGCTTACTGTGCACACACATTGCCTGTTATGCTATCCAGATCTCCATTCAACTTTTGCTTCCAGATTAATTAATTAACTAAATCAATCACTCAAATTTAACAAGAGATGGCAGTCTAACTGCGTACCTCCTGCCAAATTACTCAGTAATTATTTAGCCTTAATAGCTTTATAAAGATATATGACTGTGTATTAGACAATTACAATTGTTATTATTAATTTTGAAGTTTTCTGTTTTGAAATGGAGAAAGCAAGCATAAAAAAATAACTTTTGCTGTTATTTATTGACTATCATCTTGTTTTAACAGTGTTTTCTGTTACTTACATATAATCATTCATTTTACAGTTCTTGTTTTACAAAATAGAAAGAATCAAATTTACTAAGCAAAAATAAAATTTTTTCACATTCTGTTATTCATTAGAAATTTCAATCTGAATTAAGCTTAAGAGTTCTCCACAGAAAACAAGTGTTCGATAACTGACTCTAGAATTTGTATTATTGAATATTATCCACATTAATATTATTTTCAATTTAATTTTATTGAGTTTGTTTTAGCATTTATTATTATTATATAAATAAAACAGAAATGAAGCAATATGATAAAGAAATTTTATTGTTCAATAAGCATGTGCATTTTCTACATGAAGTATAGGAGGTTCTTTCTTGGCATTCCATTTTTTTTTTTTTGTTTCACATATAATTACATCTACAATGAAGTAAAACAGAAAAACAAAATGTTTTAATGTTTGAGATGGTATAACTGCATAAACTGCATAATTGTGTTGTGCTTCTAATGACTGCCAAAAAGACACAGGATGTGTGGGAGTGGATTATGAGACATTTTTACTTACATTCTAGCAATTTTTTGTAGGATATACCATCATTATGGATTATCCTCAAAATTATAGCAGTTAGCATGTCTAAGTAAGAAATGCTAACAATGGCTGCTTAGAGAAAAATGATCTACATATCTTATTCCTAAACTATACCAAACATATTAACTTTAAGGCAATCTTTCTATTTATTGACTTTTTATAGCTTGTTTGCTCAGTTCCTCAAAGTTTCACTCAAAACTAAATATAGAACATTCACTGCACAGCAAATGTACTTTCAATTTTGTTTAATCACAACACCCAAGTCTTTTGTGATCTAGATATCATTTTGCAATAGTGTTTTCTGTACCATTAGGAGATTAAAAAATTACAAAAACATAAAAACTGACAATTTCTGTATTAAATAATATTTCATACACAGTCGACTCCCTATAACATGGTAGATATGTTCTGGTTTTTATGAATCCATTTTCTACGAGTCCAGCCAATCACAGCCCGACACGTATGCAATTTACAAACTACAGCTGTTTGAAAGGTTTCTTTCATAAAATTAATTGATTCTAGACTAATTCGACTCAACATTTCCAAAATATGTATAATTTTTTGGGAATAATCCATATAAACTATGCTATAAACAAAAAAGTGTAGGATTACTTACCAAGCGTGCACCGTTCGACTATGCCATTGCTTAAGCTTGTTGTCGTCATGGAGAGGCACATTGAACAGGGGCACGCACATTTCCTGATAAATTATTTTTTCTGTGAAAAATTCGCTGAACTTTGGAGACATCATTAATATAAATATAATTTTTATGGCCGTCATATAATAAATGGTTTTTAGTAGGTCCTCTGCTCATTTAAACTCAACGGTTTGTGCAATATCTGCTATTGGTCTAGATTCGACCAATCTTGTCATGACACGAGTCGGCAATGACATTTTAATGAATTATAGGAGTTTTTTTTAGCATATTTGTATGAATACTGTTGCAATTATTTTGCCGTGATATAGGAATCCGAACTATAGGAACCCATGTTATAGTTGGGGTCGACTGTATTTTAATTGAAATATTTGGTAAAACAAGCATGTTTATTTTTGAATAACTATTTTCAAAATGTAGTAAAAAATGTTGATACTGTCTATCAGCATTATTATTTTTACTTGAAGCATCCCTACAAGTACTTTCAACAAACGTTAAAACATATTCCATAGGATGTGTCAATACATTGAAAAAACATCAAAAACAATCATAATAATAATATAGATAGAAATAAAACAGGTTGGGGTGTGAAAAATGTACAATTTAGATTTAATTTGAATGAAAATTATTGCACCAACCTCCTGTATAACATGTGCCATATTGCTAGAAGGTTGATTGAAGGTTCGCTAACATGAAATATGCATTGTTATGTAAAATGACTCCCATATGAAAATGATATGCAATCCGAGCATTTAAGTAGGGAGGCATCAGTCCATAATACATTAATTATTTTATGAAGTATTTCTCGCAAATTCAGTAGAAGTTCTGCAATTTCCGATATCATCTCAATGCTCTTGAAAGAGGCTAGCCAATTTTGAATTAATTCCAAATTATGCATTTATTGCACACTAACCTTTTTTATTTCTATCTTATTTATTTTTTTTTTTTCTTCGATGTATTGACACATCTTGTGGAATATGTTTTAATTTTTCCGTTTAGAACACTTTAACCTATATTTTAAATTGTAAGGTTCCATTATTCCATACCTGAAGAAGAAAATCTGTAGTTTGTTGAAAGTACTTGTAGCATTGTTTCAAGTAAAAAATAATATCAATAATAGACTTATCACACTACACCTTTTTTGCAGAGATAGTTTTATTGAAAAACTAATGTTTTCAATAAAATTAAACATATCCTATTTAATGGAACGCCAATGTTCTTTTTCTATCATTAAGCCTGAGAATGGCTATAGAGTAAGCCAAAAACATTAGTTTTTTTAATAAAACTAACTCGGAAAAAAAAAGGTGTAGTGTGATAAGTTAATTATTTGCTGAGCATGTTCTGTTTAACATCAATAGATATTATCAACATTTTTCTTAAAGATTTTGGTGTCAGAAGAAGCAATTTCTGAGCATTTTGTATCAAAATTTAATATATTTTATTTACTTTTAAGTAACAAAATAAAGAAAAAATAAAATAATCTGTTCTAAAAAATAAATTTTATGCATTTGATATAATACTTATATCAAAATTATAATTTTCTAACGATGGTGTTTTAAATTCAAAATCACAGCATAAATGTATTTCAAATTCAAACAAATTTAAACAATTTCATATAAAACTTACTGTAGCTTCATTACAATTATTACATTTAACTACATATTGTTCTTGTTTTCCTGTTAATTCAATAGCTGCAGTACAAACTTGGCATGTTATGACTGGTGTTCCATTTTCAGAAGAAACTGATGGAGGTGGAAGCTCTTGTGGACTAATAGGTGAAACTATAACATGGTCAACTGCTGAAAAATAAAAGGAAGATGTATTATATTATTATTATGAAGAAAATATGTTTAAACTCTTTACAACAATAAAAAAAATTCAAACAACACAATTTGTACTACACAATAAGAAATTTTATTGTACAAAAACAAGTTCAATATAAATGAATCATTGAAAGAAAAAAAAATGTTTTTCAGTTCACTAGGACGTTAAAGTTTAAAACATATAATTCTTATATAATTATATGTCATTATTTCTATAATAGTTAAACATTTATGAATAAAGATTGGTTAATTATTATAAAACTAAGTTTGAATGTTAATAGTTTGATTCCATGAAAGAATGATTTAAAATCTAGAATTAGTAGTTAGACATATTGTTATATTAGTTATTCAAGTAAAGTATAAATGAATTTGTAAATCTTTTATTATTATACTTGAATTTTAGTTAATGTACAAGTACTTCCTATAATTTTGTTATACAATATCATTAAGAATTTTGAATTTTATGTAGTTAGTGATTATTGTTAATAACTATTTCTTGATCATAACAACTATAATTCTTAAAATCCAGATTGCCTTAATCTAGTATCATACATCATTCTTATAACATCAGTTTCAATTCTTCAGCTTCTTATGAATGTACAAGATTTATTCTCAGTCCAAATTTATACTTTTCACTTATTTTATTTCTATCTCTATCTCTTGCAATTATGATTCTATATACAGTAAAGCTTCCCTTCTAACCAACAGAAAAATTCTCTAAAATTTTTCCATTGATTTAAATGGGATGTAGACTTCTGTTTTGTGACCTACTCCAATATGTGACTTTATTTTTTTGGTCCCTTCTATATGAATCAGAAATATGCAACCACTTGCTAAGTCCCTAAGCACAGAAGATTGGGGGTGCCTTTATATAATTTAATGACATCATAAACTAATAACTTCTATAATAATTCTAGCTATAGAAAGATTTATGAATAATGATATACAATTGCAAGTGTAAAATTGCTTTATTTTTTCCAATTTCAACCCGAGGCACCAAGACACATCTCACATGCCTAAATTATCAGTAATTTAATATTCTGGAAAAAGAAAATATTCCATATAGTGTTGCCACCTTTTGAAAATTGCTGATCCGGATGGCAGGTCAGGTTTGTTCGAACAGAAGTTCCTGACGCATGCGCAATGTCATTTTACAATGCGAAGAATAACGTGCATGGTGGTTCTAAATCAGTTACAGTTAGGGACTAGGGGCTTGCGTAGGAGTAACCTAAATTAAGAACAGGTACAGATGACTTAGCTCTATTGGATATTGGAGAGACGTGTACAATTGTACACTAAAAAAAAGAAAAGGGTCAACGACAGGTTACGCACCACACGTTGGCATAAACAGACTAACATGGCAGAATTGCAGACGAGTTTCAATGAGTGAGAGTTCTTTCACTGTTAAAATAGTGTAAATTTGTAAAAATATTTGCAAGAACTTTGTTTCATCATAATTTCACAATTTTCCGGACAAAATTAATAGTTCATCCAGACAGTGAGTCAATTCCCGGACTGTCCAGGTGAAAACCGGATGGGTGGTAACACTAATTCCAAATTATTTAATTATAAATATTAAACTTATTAATAGATTGCACCTAATGTCTCCCTATAATCCATGAAAAATTATTTAGAAATTAATTAAAAATAATTGCAGAAAAGTAGCCTGATGTAATCCAGTAATTGCTTGGCTTTTTACTAACATATTGTATTTCAAGATGTTTGTATATGTATTAGTTTACTTGCTTGAAATATCTTAAGTTTTGAAGAAACATCTTCCATGTCTTTGCAAGTTGCAAATTCTATGATACTGTAAATTAAAATAAACGTTATAAATGACACCCTCTGCTTTTGCACTCACTTCCCATATGCGACTACTTTTAATTTTTCCCAAGAGTGGTCACAAATGCAGCTTTACTGTATACAATCACATTGGAATGTCAATCTTCACATTCACAATTGCTTTTATTTATTCTATTCCTCCAAAATTTAGAATCTCTAAAATGCTTCTTATGTTCAGGATAAACAAGCAATTTATAATTCACTAAACAGCAAAAGTACTGATGACAAATGTATGGTGATATTATAAAAGTTAATTGATTACACAAATTGAGAGAGAATTCTTATAAATTATATCCTTTTGATGTAATTTTCTGAAAACTGCATTTGCCATACACCACAGTACTACAATTCAAACCTGTAAAAATGCAGTAAAATTTTAATTTTCAAATGTTTTTGGTCATCTTAATGTTCAGGACAAAAACAAATTTCAATTTAATTTGAAGAACAAAAGCTGAAATTACAACTTTATTTTTCTTCTTTTTAAATTTAAATTTGTCTCTTTCTATCCTGAAGGTCATTTAAGATGACAAAATATCAGGTCAGTCCATAAGTTCGTGCGCATTAGTAGCATGTATGGATTTCGCGATTGTTTATTACCAGATCGATAAGATTCCGAACCTGTCGAAACTTGTCATCGCTTGACCGTTGTATTCGTCAGTTTGTCACCAAATTTCGTAAAGATCAGACGCATATTAGTACCAATAAAAAATGAATATCGATAACGCATATAAACGTGCTGTGTTATATTTTTTCTTTTCGAGTGGTGAAACTGTCAGATCTGCAGCAATAAAAATTAATAGTGTACATGGTGCACATACTATTAGTGTGAGGACTGCCCAGAAATGGTTCAAAAAATTTAAACTTGGAAAAAGCAACATTAATGATAAACCCCGTTCAGGACGTCCTGTCGATTTTGATAACGACGTTCTTAAAAATCTTGTGGAGTCAGAGCCACATTTCACAGTGGATCAGATCGCAGAAAAGATGCATTCATCTCATGGGACAGTCTTTCGCCATTTAAAGGAGATTGGAAAAGTATCCAAGTTTGGAAAGTGGGTACCACACGAGCTGTCCGAAGCCAATTGCCAGCAGCGATTAAACATCTGCATTTCCCTTCTATCGCGCTTTGAAAGAGAGCCATTTTTAGACTGTTTGGTAACAGGTGACGAAAAGTGGGTTATTTATGATAATGTCACCAGAAAAAGACAGCGGACAGACAAAGATAAGCAGCCAATTTCAACACCAAAGGCGTCTTTACATCCCAAAAAGGTTCTGCTAAGTGTGTGGTGGGATATGTATGGTGTCATTTATTATGAATTGTTAGAACCAAATAAAACCATTAATGCAGATGTATACAGTGAACAACTTTGCCGTTTAAATTCAGAATTGATTAAAAAACGCCCGCGATTGGTGAATATGAAGAAAGTGTTGTTCCACCATGATAACGCTAGACCGCATACGGCTCGAAAAACGCTGCAAAAAATTAATGAACTGAATTGGGAGCTTTTGCCGCATCCTGCATACTCCCCAGATATTGCCAAGTGATTTTCAGTTATTTCGTGCCTTACAAAATTTTTGCCAAGGCAAAAAGTTCAATTCTAAACAGGATATACAAAATGAACTCGGAAGATTTTTTGCTTCAAAACCAGAATCTTTTTACACCAATGGAATAAAAAAGCTACCAGAAAGATGGCGAGATATTGTAGATAGCGGAGGAAAATATATCATAGATTAAAATGTTAAATTCTGTTTTATTTACACCATTTAAAAATTTCGCCAAAATGCGCACGAACTTATGGACTGACCTGATATGTTTGAAAATTAAAATTATACTGCTTTTTACAGGTTTGAGTAGTAGTACTGTCTTTTTGACGTTTAAAGATGCAGAATGAGGAATCCAGTATACAAGTAAACACTAGAATAGATTTAACTGTTTTTATGCTGATGTTTGTTTATTAATATTACTTAATTTAAATATGCCAAATCTTTGATTCCAATAAAATTTCCAAATCATGTTTTGCAATACTTTCAATGTCATATTACTTGATAACAAATTATACTATATAATACTCTATATAGATTAAAATTATATATATATATACTTTTCAGAATGTATGCATTCAATATTCAATCTTCAAATTAAGCAATCTTACCAAATCTGTCAAGTATAATGTACTGTATTTTTGCAGAATGACTAGCATGCTACAGTGTGGGCTACACTGACCATCTATCATGACCTTAAAAATAACACCTTCCTCTCAAATTTCACACAATGCAGATGTTAATTGGTGTAAGCTGAAATAATTTGCAGCAAGTTTCTTAAATTTAATGTGTTTATTTTTGTATTTTTGAATCAAACAACATAAAATACACATACAAACAAAAAAAAAAAATAGCCTATAAAACACTTTAGGAATTCCACGAGTATTTTACATGATTAGAAAGAAGACAAAATGAAGAACATAAACATATAATCATAGTTTTTAATGTAATGCTAACAGTTTCACAGTTTTAGAATAAAAACTCATTCAGTTTTGTGTGACATATCTAGTATGTTTTTTTAAATGCACCCTCTAGAGAGGGATGTATTATCTCACTTAAACTGTCATGTTGGCATTTGCTGAAATAAACAAGCATACCAGTTTTTACCATACGGAAATATCTAATTTCATGGTCTTCCCTGCATACACCAGCATGCCAGTTATTCCATGAAAATATGATAAGATTTTACCATAGTACAAGGAATAATAATGATTCCAAGTTACAGCCTATAGCAGAATATTAAAAAGACCAAATCTGTCAAGACTAAGGCCTGCTATAGTCCATGCAGCAAAAGAGTAGACACAAAGCAGCTTAAGCTGGAAGGGTTTTTGTCAGATGAAAGGGATAGAAAGACACATGGAAGTTGACAATTACAATTACAGTAATAAAATCTGTACCCAAAAAAAAAACCATAAAACATTAACATTATTTGTGACAAAGATAGTACAAAACAGTTTTAAAAATGTAAAAACCAAAATAGCTGAAAGATAAGACCTAGATGTCAGCTCTACATCTCCTTTCATCTAACAGACTCTTCCAGCTCAGGCTGACTCATGTCTACTCTTTCACTGCACTGACTATACTGTAGTTGC